TAAGAGACGGGGGGCCGGCGGGTTCATAAGAGACGGGGGGCCGGCGGGTTCATAAGAGACGGGGGGCCGGCGGGTTCATAAGAGACGGGGGGCCGGCGGGTTCATAAGAGACGGGGGGCCGGCGGGTTCATAAGAGACGGGGGGCCGGCGGGTTCATAAGAGACGGGGGGCCGGCGGGTTCATAAGAGACGGGGGGCCGGCGGGTTCATAAGAGACGGGGGGCCGGCGGGTTCATAAGAGACGGGGGGCCGGCGGGTTCATAAGAGACGGGGGGCCGGCGTTCATAAGAGACGGGGGGCCGGCGTTCATATAGGACTGAACCTCTGTTCTGGCTGCCAGTGTTTGAAGCTGCAGCTCCAGAAGATCCAGACGAGACGTTTCACTTTGCTGCTGAAATGAATCCTGCTGCAGAGACACATGAAGGAAACTATTATTATTATTATAATAATATAAGAGTGTTAGATTATTATGTGACAGACCAATGAAGTACTTTACACAGTACACAATGTACTTTTTACTGTACTACACATCTACTTTTCAGAGTGTGTTACTAGCACTTTTACTGCAGTAAAGGACCCGACTACGTCCTCCACCGAGTCCAGTACCTTCTCTGTCTGCCGTCTGTCCTCGTCCAGTCCTCTGCTGAGCTGGTCCAGCTTCTGGTCCAGCAGGTCCATCATCCAGGGCTGCTCCTCCTCTCCGTGTCTCTGATCCGAGACCGGCTGCTGGAGGTCAGCGTACAGCTGCAGCAGCTCCTGGTGTCTCTGGTCCGCCCGCTGCCCGCCGGCCTCCACGTGACCCCAGAGCACCGCCAGACTCTCCTCCAGACGGACGAGCCGGACCGACCCGTCCTGTGAGGAAGCAGCAGGATCAGTTTGTAAAAGGCTTCCACAAGAGAAGGTAAAGAAGACTAAAGGACCAGAAACGTTTCTTTGTGTGACTGAAAACAATCTGGACTAGAAAAAATGATCCTCAGAACCTTTTACACGTTCCATCATAAACAAGAGGAGAGAGTATTTAGATCAGACGTGACCCTAAAGTATAAACACCTCCTCTTCAAACACCTGATGGAGGAAACACTTTGGTTCTGCAGCTGCTCTGTGTACAAATACACACATTTAAGTATTACAGTACACTTACCTCCTCTCCTGCAGCTGGAGGCTGCACCTCCCTCCTCTCCTCCACGGCGCCCTCTGCTGGTCGGCTCTGGAAGGACAGGAAGCCGCTGACGGCGGACAGACCAGAGACCAGCGTCCCCCGTTCTGTGACGTCCACGGCTGGAAGGACGGACCGGAGAGCAGCTGGACCGAACCAGCACAGACCTGAAGGAACTACTGTAGATTAGACTATAGGACAGAGCCGGGGCTGCTGGGTAATATTCAGATAACTGAGATCTAGTGGATGAACTCATCACGTTATTAGATTTTGGACCGATGAAGGAAGTCAGACTTTAGAATATTTCTACTTCCCTTCAGCTCAGTTGTATTATTTAAATCTATAAAGTCTCCAACACAGCGCTGTAGAACTAAGAGTGTAACCTTCTGCAACATAGTGAACATACTGAAGAAGAGGAGGAGCAGAGGAAGGAGGACCACGAGGAGGAGCAGAGGAAACCTGCAGAGACACAAACAAGAACACACAGAGCTGAACTCTTTCAAACACTTTAAATCAAACACGCATCGTTGAAATGAACACATTCAGAACTAAACAGGAGACGTCAGGAAGTCTGAGGGTTCAGGTCCTCAGGGGGGACACGGGGTCTGGATCACACAAATTAAATCAATAAAAATGTACCCAGTCAGCAGGAAGCTGGAGGTCATGTGACGCCATTGTCTGTTGAGCCTCTTGTACACGTCAGCTGCAACACACACACAGATTATAGAAGATCAATAGAAGTCTTTCACCAGCAAACAGGAAGCAGGTTGATGTCTGTTTGATGACGTCAGATAGAAACAAGAAGCTCAGAGTGAACGTGACATCACAGATCACTCTGAAACATTCAGATTTAAAAAGACTTTATTTCATAAGAGAAACTCATCGACTTTGAGCTTCTAATCTAGAACCAGAGAAAACTAAAGGAGACGCAGCGCCGACACCAGACATGCTGCAGAGAGGAGGAATAATCCATGGATGAACAAAGAGACTCGACGTTAACCTGCAGACACTCCGAGAAGCTGAAAACATTTTGTTGGTCAGAAGACAAAGTGATGAAGCTGCAGTCTGAGTCAGCTGACAGACAGGAAGCTGAGGAACAATGAGACACACATTAATAAAGAGAAGAAGAAGAGGCGACTGGAGGACCTGAAGATCAGAACTTGTACTAAGATATTTAAAGGTGCTGAATGATGGAACCCTGAGCCCAGTCACTGCACAATCTATCTATCTCTACATCTCATTTAACTGTGTTCATAACCTTTACCAGACTAAAGCCACACTCTACTACACTAGAGGTTCTACTGACACTATACGTCGTTACACACTTCATGTAAACATGCTGCTGATCATTAACCTCACATCTGGTGTAGTTCTACGTCGCTCTTATTAAGTTACTTATTAGTATTTATCTGAACCGTCTTCTGTCTGAAACAATAGTTTTATCTGATCGATGAGTCTTCCTGGATGTTGGATCTCAGGTTGAACGCCTCCGTGACGTCAGACTGCTTCAGAGTGAAACTTCTATAAAACCTGTTGAACCTGTGAAAACAGCAGCGCTGCACATCAGCCCCAACAAACAGGAAGTCACAGAGGACCACCAAGAAGACCACCAAGAAGAGGAGCGTTGTTTCTCCTGACAGTCGTCACCTGTTGGTGTCAGTAGTGAGTTTAATGGAGACTCTCAGAATACGATCCTCACATATTTTAAATCAATGTCAGAGAGACAAGAGGACAAGAGACAAGACGAAAGGGGACGAAAATACGAAAGCAGGAGAAAAGACGAAAGGAGACAAGAGGACAAGGTGTTCCATCAAACGTCTTCGATGAACAGATGATGAACTCACACAGAGATCCATAGGGATGGAGCTCCTTCTGGGTCGTAGTGGACTCCTTCAGGTCCATGACTCCACAGAGACCTGATCGAGCTGCAGAGAGGAAACAGACTCAGCACCTCACCTCGTCCTCTGAGCTCCGGGGGGGGGGGGATTTGCATTTTGCCATGGCAACAACCAAAGTGAGAGGGGTTGGGAGGGAAACCTGAAGACAGGTGAGCAGGTGAGACAGGAAGGGAACCAAATCTGTGTCTCAACAACTCGTCTGATTCACAGCATCATGGAACCTGAAGGATCATAAAAGAGTCCCTCTGAAGATGGTTTGTTCTAGAGGACATCGTAGGAGTCCTCCGGGGGGGGTCTGTTGGACACCGAGGACATTGTAAAGGTCTTGAAGTCGGTCCTGGTTCAGGAGGAACTGATATCTGGTACTGGACCGGTACTGTTGCATCATTTCAAAGGTTTACACTTCAATCTTAATTCTGAAGATTATTTGTACCAAGTTGCTGCCGATTGATTTTAACAATAAGTAACTTAGTCGGATGGTCTAGTACTCATTGGGGAGGTTCTAACGGTCCTGTAGGTAGTTCTAGTGTTCTAAAGGAGGCTCTTTGGGTCCTCCAAAAGGTCCAAGTGGTCACTGTGGAAGTTCTAGAGGTCCTCTGGATGGTTCTAGTGGAAAGGTTTAGAAGTTTTAAGAAGAAGTGAACAGGAAGTGAACAGGAAGTGAACAGGAAGTGAACTGGAAGTGAACAGGAAGTGAACAGGAAGTGAGTGATGAGGAGAAGGCGTCGTTAATAAAAGGTCCAGGTGAAGTTCTTGTAAAAGCATGATCTTCCCCAACAGAACCAGGTTTTGACACCAGTGTCAGGTAGAGAACCAGAGTGGACACCTTGTAGAACCACAGACTCCCACACTCAGTACCTGCATGTGTGTTATCAGTCTGTGAGAACAGGTCCTGACACACCTGCCAGGTGTGTGTCAGGACACTCGCACAGCCGGCTGCAGCTCTCCTGACACACAGCACAGAGGAGAGGAACCACAGCTGCAGAACATCTGGAAGAGAGTCAAACTCTAATGAAGATCCAGAGGACTCACTGGGACAGACAGGAAGTGATGTATGTGGGCGGAGCCACAGAGAGCAGGAAGTTCTTGGTCCATATTAGGAAAACAAAACATGGGCTCAGAGTGCTTCCTGTCACATGATGAGCTGAGCAGCAGCACACCTGAACAAAGAGGTTCATTAAAGACAAACAGCTGATCTGAGTCCAGATGTTTCCTGTAATAATGTAGAGAAGAAGTTCCTGTGAGAACCAGACAGACTGCAGTGATCCACAAGGAACACCAGGGGGAGCTGCTGCAGAACCGCTCACCTGTCCTCCCGTCTCCCTCACCCGTCTCCCTCCGCCCTCACCTGTCCACCCGTCTCCCTCCGCCCTCACCTGTCTTGCTCCTGTGGCTCCGGTCTCTGCAGTAGATGGTGGAGGCCTCTGGCTCTGAGGAGGAGGTGTACTTGGAGGAGGAGCAGTTTGTGGAGACAGACTGATGCTCACAGTCTTTACAGGGAACCCTGCTGAGAGTCTGGACCAGGTGTTTAGGACAGCGACTGTCCGGGTCCAGAGAGCTCTGGTCAGCTACGATGGTGCTCTCTGGAACAGAGACAACCAACCAATCAACCAACCAACCGGAAATGCATTGAACCATCTGTTAACCTTTGAAATAAGGTTTCTAATGTTTAATAGTCAAGAAGATTAATTGACCTTTGGGATCGAGGTCCTGGTCCAAACCTGAAACAGGAAGAGGAAACAGACACTTCATAAACCCTCCAAAATAAGAGCCCTCCTCACAGAGGCCTGGCTGTATGAGAGGAGGAGGAAGCAGAGAGGAGGAGTAAAAGAGGAGTTGTACCCCAGAAGGTGTCAACCAGCGTGGACTCCTGCACCGAAGACTCATCCAGCAGAGATGACAGCAAGGAGGCGTCGGAGGCGACGCTGTGGAGGCTGCTGCTGAGGAGAGACGTCGCTCTACGAGGAGAAGTGAGGAGGAGAGACTCTGAGCAGGAGGCGGAGAGATGCTGAGAGCGACGGCACTTCAACGACCTGAGGAGGAGGAGGAGAGATGAGGAGGAGTCAGATGAAGGGAGGAGGAGAGGAGAAGAGGAGGAGTCAGATGCAGGGAAAAAGAAAAACAAGAGAGATGAGGAGAAGGTCGAGGAGGAGAAGGGCAGAAGGAGGGAGAGAGAGAGAAAGACAGAAAAGGGGGAAGGAGAAGAGATGAGGAGGATGGAAGAAGAGACGAGGAGAAGAAGGCAGATGGAGGGAGAAGACAGACGAGGAGAAACAGAAGAGGAGGAGGAAGGAGAGATGAAGATAAGCTCTGAACTCACCTGTTGCTCCTCCAGCTGGCTCCTCCCACACTGAAGGAGGCGCTGCTGTGAGGAAGACTCCAGTCCAACAGACCTTCATCCAGCCGAAGGCTTCGTCTGGACATGATGAGGAGGTCCTGGTGCTCCTTCTGAGAGTCCCACAGCGAGGAGGAGGAGCTAAGAAGAGGAGGAACCACAGGAATAAAGAGACTCTTCTTCCTTTAGTACAAACACTTATTTTATCAATTAAATGATTTTGATCGATTGATTTTCTGTTCATATACATTTACAAATGAACCTGCACATGAGCAGTAAACATCACTTAAATCTCCAGGTGATCTACTAAAGAACAACGTTTAAATGTTTCACGTCACAGAAGCTCAACAGGAAGTGACGTCAAAACCCTTTCAAAATAAGACTGGTTCAGAATAAAAGATGAATGACTCGTTTGATATATTGATGAGTCAGCAGAGGTACAACACACTGCTGGACTAAAGTAATCCTGGAACCTCATCGGACTGTCTCACACAAACACACTACCGACACCACAGAAGAAGAAGATACACACAGGTCAGTCCAGCCCCAGCTCTGCAGCTCCTCGTCTTCCTCACAGACGTTCATCACAGGACACACATACACTTCCTGTTTGAGACTCCGCCCCCCCCCCCCCCCCCC